TGGGCACTGGTTCCAAAGTTTCGTCTTCACCATCAGATTCCTCGAAATCGCTTTTGCTGCATACTTCATTCACAATGCCCCCATCCATGCACAGTTCAGCGGTGTTGGCATCACATTGGCTGTAATAAAATCATCGGAACAAATGTCCCGCATGCCCTCCCATCTCAGAGTCCATGTCGCGCTGCCACAATGTGCTGCCGGAGTGCACCTGTTCGGAAGCTTCAGGTTCACCATCGGGCTCGACGACAACGTTGGCCTCGCGAAAACAGTTTCGCAGGCATGTAGCTGTCACCGCTGCCCACGAAGCCTTCACCCTCTCCACAGCTGAATACCGGGACGCCCTAAAGCGGCAAGTTGGCTGCTAGGTGGTCAACAGCTATGAGCAAGCACTCTGCAACATGACACCTAACGCGTGGATTACTCCCAAGCCAAACGGTCACATTTTCAGCAGTTGAGCGGCAGAAAAAAAAGCACGGAGGCCTCCCATCCGCCATCTCGAGCACACACGCACACCAACAACGAGCAAGACGTGCCCTCTGGACACACAAGCCAGAATGCAAGGAACAGCTCTGGGCCCGTTTCTAGTCAGTAAACTAAACTCTTTAATTCGAGCTAGTGCGGCTGACGTCATGGAGCAGAGGAGATCAGCAAAGGAGTTGTGATACAGAGGAGAGCGGACTTGTGAGAAAAGAGCAAGGAGTTTCAATAGGGTGAAAAGAGGGAGGGTATGGTGGGAAGGTGACCTTGAAAACCAAAACACGCGGGAAGAAGGCAGGTCGGGTAGCTTGCTTGAAAGGTCCGCATAACGCGCAACTCAAGAGTATAAAAACTTGAAAGAGTGCCTGCACACGCAGAGGTCAAAGAATCATTTTGTGGCACCGATGGGTTTGCGGGGCCTCACCAACTTCGATAATTCGCAATTCGTTCCACGCAACAGCAGTTTTTTACGCTTCCACAAGCGTGCGGAGGGCATGCTGAGCCGAGTGCGAAGTGACGGAGAACAGGTCCTAAACACAGAACGAATCGCGAATTATCAGGGTCGATGGGTTAGCATACACGTGTACACTAGAACGATATGACACCCACCCAGACTAGACACAGACAATCGGATATAGTCGATAGCTGACGATGCTGGCAAATGATCTTGTCACTCCAGGCCGGCGACGCCAATAACAAAACCAGCGAACAAAAACTGAGGGGAGACTAATTAGCCGACCGGTCACTGAAAAATCGGTGGCAGTGTGAAAACACGGGCCTCGTCTGACAATGCAGGGTGCTCAGAGTAGCGGGGATGGGGGGGACAAAGGCCGTACAGAGGGGTGCGTGACAAAAGACGGTCAGGGAGAACGACAAGAAAATGGGGTGCGGAGGCAGGGTCGGTGTTTAACAATAAGAATTTGTAGGCACCTTGGTCAAAAGTGATTTTTCAGGAAGTCGCCAGAGTGGAGACTCTGTTTGCTGTAACCGATCGACGGCGCTCAGGGCCGTTTCGTTCTAAGTGCCATTTTGCGTCATCGAAACAATGTATTCACAGTTACACAGGTGTCGTTCATTTTAAGCGAAAGTTCATTTCAAGTGGGGCCATTATATGTGGGCTTGACTGTACTTTCAGAATTATTTGGAACAGAAAAAATTTAAAACATAAATTTTGATGTAAATGACCCTGAAATAGTATAAAAAATATTAAATTTTGTACATGTTTTTATTCACAGAGACAAAAAAGAAAAATTGGAACAGAGATGCTGCTTCGTTGCTCATGCCATGCGGTGAAGCATGGCTTGGTTCTTCATGTGACACTAGTGAACTTGTACATTATTTTCGGTATATTTGTTTTGCTTTGCTTTAAGAGCTCCCATGTGTTCCCACATAAATAGATGCCCATTATGGGAATAATCTCTCAATAAATCAGATGTCTGATGAGCTTTGCTATTCATCTAGCGTCACCTCTCTCCATGAGCCAGCTTACTGCACATATGTTGGTGCCCCGCCGCGGTGGTCTAGTGGCTAAGGTACTTGGCTGCTAACCCGCAGGTCGCGGGTTCAAATCCTGGCTGTGGCGGCTGCATTTCCGATGGAGGCGGAAATGTTGTAGGCCCATGTACTCAGATTTGGGTGCACGTTAAAAAAACCCAGGCGGTCAAAATTTTCCGGAGCCCTCCACTACGGCGTCTCTCATAATCATATGGTGGTTTTGGGACGTTAAACCCCACAAATCTAGTCTGCACATATGTTGGTGTTGCAATATATGCATCCAAGCATATTTTCTTTAGTTCTTGCACATCGTATTAAAAGGTAACAATAGCGCTTCAGTTCTAAAACCTTTCGAGCTGCTCCATAGTGAGTGTCAAGATGTGCTCCAGCGGCCTTTTTCTCGTGAAGAGAAACGCAGTCGTCGCCAGCACACCATGCCTCAGCGACGTGTGAACCTGCCACGTAACCAGAGTAGCTATAACATTGTGAACAGAAGTCAGCAGCTACAGATTTGTGGCGGAAGAGACAACTTTAGGCCATAAACAAACCTATGGACAGCTGCGCATGTCACAGGCTGACATGAAACATTGTCGATTTAAAACTTGAACTTGAGATGCTGTCATCCTTGAGCTCTACGCTCGTCCACACTCAATTCAGGTGAGGTTGCAAGTCAGTTTCGAGTGGCGCGAGCGCCTTGCAGCGCAGGTGAGAGCCCGGACGCGCGTGGCGATCCCACGTCATAGAAGCAACTAGTGACACTACATGTGACCCTGCACTTGATAGAACGATACAAGCGAAACCAAGCCTCCTGGGAACTGGCTGAGTAAGTCACATCTATACTTTATAGATGCAGAGGACCTTTGGAAATAATTTCTTGTAGAATGAATTTTCCCTGATTCTTAGCAACACCTCTCTATTGAATAGCTGCCATAAATTCCTGGCATTTATTACTACTCAACACTGTCAGATTGCCAAGTTGACACTTTAATTTGATATTTGACTTGCAAGGGTTCTTTTAATTACAGAACCTTTTAGAGTACTGTCGCATAACCATGAGGGGCACAGACTTTTGTCAAGTTTTCCAGCCAAATGATGTTTGCCTACAATACGCATTCAAGGATGGAAGTGTTTTAGAGCAACTCAGGGAGCAGGACTAATGTTGTTTTGGAGCAGCTTTAGCGAGTAAAATGGGAGTTTTGAAGCAGGTTCAGAGCACCAGAAGGTGTGTTTTCGAGCAATCAGTGATGCTAATGAGGTCTTATGACTTGGAGCAATTATTGGAGCCGCAAAGTTTTCATTTTGGAGCACTTTGGAGCAGCAAAATTTTATATTTTGAGCACTATGGAGCAGCTAACTTCAAATGCTGAAGGAGAAGCAAGTTGCATATACATTGAAGGACATGAAAAATTATTACGAGGCTCTTGTGAAGAGTTAGAAATATTTAGATTCATTGCAAATTTCATGTAGGCAATCTGCAAATTTCCTGTAGCCAATCATCTTAGAAACACTCCCTATTTCAGTTGATGATGCAAGAATTATGGCATCATGCTGTTGAGCATTCTGGAAAAACTTGTACAGTGATTATTTCTGTAGCAAATAAACAGAATACTCACTGAATTAAAATTTTGTACTTTATAACATAACAATGTAAATATGGTCATCAGCAGATATGGTAGACAAATGTGTGACGTGCTACGCTAGGGACTCACAATGTCCCAAGTGCATTTTCGTAACATGACTTGAAGAATAAAAAAAAAGTTCTTTTTCTTCATGACTGATTAGACTGCTGGGCGTAACATGACATCGTTCAGCTAGTCTCCAAAAGCCAACCTCCTCGGGCCCTCATCTTTGTGCTGAATACATAATTTAACAGACTTCACTTCCTTTTGCAACAATATTTTGTGGCTATGGCATTCTTTCTATACTTTATAAACCCCCTACCGGCTCCTCTAAAAAGCAGCGCATAAAAGAAAAAAAAAAAAAAACTCACTGGGTACTTTATGCATACGCCTAAGACAACTCAAAAGCAAGATCCATTTTGTTTTTAATGGGATAGAAGTTACATGGACATCCATGACTGGTTCTCGCGGTTGCATGGGGTGTAGCCAGAAATTAAAAAAAAAATTGAGGGGGGGTTGCACCTATCTTAGGACGGAGCAGGCAAAAGGTCACTTTGAGCAATATATATGCCATGGAGAAAAAAATTTCTGAGAGGGGGGGGGGGGTGGAGGGCACATTCCTGATGTCCCACCCCCTGGCTACGCCACTGGCTATTATGTTTTGTGTAATGCCCCAATCAATAACATCCCCTGGCACATTGTGTTTTACACGCTAGTAAAAGCGTGCGAGTGGGGAAGACAAACACAGCTAAAGCAGAGATAAGAAGAGCCAACCTATCTCCTTTGCGCTGAGGACCGATGCGATAACATCACCCTGCGTGCTAGGCCTCCCATTGATTGTTACTGCAGCAGAGAGGAATACGCCACCCGTGTCCAAGAGACAAGAAGGATTGAGCTAGGAACGCGAGGGGGGGGGGGGGTTGTTATGAACTTTAAGGGTGCACCTTCTGGCTACACGTTAGTGAAACACTGGATATGTTAAAAAATCAAAATGAAATTGCTAGGCTAATCACTGGAAAAAAAAAAAAGCAGCTTTCCTTTTTCAAGGGGCTTGTGTTTTAAACAACACCAACAACGACATTAGGCCCATGGAAAGCATGCAAAACACTAGTTTGTCATTTTGAGCATCACTAAATTGTGATGTAAATTAGGATTTGTTGAGGTGAATAAAAAATCCCTCTTTTGTTGGTGCCCCCCCCCCCCCCCCCCCCCGAATTTAACTGTCTGCGGAGAGTGTGTCTTTTATCCTTATAGCTGGAATCTCTACCAGACAGTGAAAATAAACCATCAAACTCTCAGACGGATGTTCAAGAAGCTTTTCAATATGTGCTGAGATTAGGCCACTGCCACTGATAATCACGAAAACTTCCTAGAATGCTGACTTCAAGCTAAGGCGTCACAGTTACCGACCACGACTTGAGCATCTGTGCAAAGCTGTTCTCCAGCTGGTAGCGGAAGGCCAGTGGATGAGGGCCGTTGATGACCACCAGGCGGTCAACCATGTCCTCGTGCTTAGTGGCCAGCACCCAGGCTATCATGCCGCCTAGGTCGTGGCCCACCACAATCGCCTTCTTCCGGCCTGCACCACATGACGCGGCTAAAGTGAGCCATTATAAGCAATCATCTTTCGAGAATGATAGCCCATCAACACAGTGAAGTTGGACCCCTTTTTAATAGGCAAGCACTGGGGATCCCTTCTTATACATTACATGATATGTCTCTTATAAGCAGGATACTATGTTATTTTCTGCCATATTTTGATTCAGGCATACTGGTATCTCCTAGAGCCACATGTCTCTTATAACTGTCTCTGATAAAAGTATTTCTCTTTCTGTAAAGTTCTCTCTCTCTTAAAAAGGGTTTCAACTATACAAGTAACAGTGTCTGGGCTGATCTTCCTGAGTGTGAACAAGCAGCACTTTTTGAGAGAGCAACTGACACCTGAAAATATTTCACGCTCCACACTGCATGCACCCACATTACATATGAGATGCCAAGACCAGCCCGCTTCCAACACGGTCAGCACAGCCATGCTGCTTCATGCCAGCTATGCCAGCAGATATCCTACTGTCATCATAATAGGCAACGCTTTGCCATACTTGATTGCAGCTGCTTTCTAGTAGCACTCAGTAGCGTTCTCTAGTTCCATAACAGTGCTATGGCTGATATAGAGCCACCATGCCTTCGAAGGCTTCTCCGAAGGCATGTTACAAAGCAGAGTACAGTAAAACTTCCATTATAAGTCTCCCAGTAATGGGACTGAACCGCTTTTCAAGGCGGATCAGTCTAGTCCCAGCAAAATCCTCATAGAGATTATGTATTAAAAATGTAGGTTATACGACGCAGTTTTATGGTGAATTTGAATCTTGCGACGACCTTCCGATTCTGTCCAAAGTAAAAAATAAAAAAACACCTTTACTCCCACTAAATGTTGACCAAATATTCACGAGTGCACAATATGAACATGCGTTCCCCTAGCTAGATTGATTATTAGAAAAGCAAAGGTTGAGGCAGGATGTCTTAGAGAATTTATTCTCCTGGCAGTTCATGCACTTTTGCATACGCCTCGATCGCATGCATACGCGGGGTCTTTACCTAGAGAAGCTCCGTCTACAGCAGCTTTAGCTGGCCAAAAAGCTCACTACTGACATCTTGATATTTCCATGTCTTCGGTCTGTTGAAACATTTCCTGGTCAGCAAACAGCTGATCTCCTGCTTTGGTTTGTGGCACTCGCAGTCATAGGTTTGAACACGTAAAAGGGCCTGATCCAGCTATTTTCACCATGCAAAATAACTTTCACTTGACATCAACAAGCAGGACATCACTAGTTACGCTTTATAAGGCAACAAATTAGAATAGCTCAGTTGAGCATGAAGGCATTCTACACAAACTCAATAACTCGTGGTCCGCCGCCATTACATATGATGGCGATGACACTATGTGTAACTCTTCTGACTGGAAGCAGTTGGCAACAAGGTTTCAGTTTCGATTTCAGGCGCAGGCAACTTTCGGACTCAATTTATCGAGAGAAATCTGCGCATTGAATTCAATTTTTCGAAGCTGAGAATAAAAATTATTGCACATTTGCCTCAGCTAAGTATTCAATTGGCAAGAATAATTTAATCTACCCTCCTTGGAGCAGCACAAGGTCGTATCGTGGGCTTATTTAGGTGGTCTCTACCCGTTTTTTGTGCACGCATGTGTGCCACTGCCTGTATTCTTAGTTTTTTCGATTATACAAAGGCGGGAACGACCTTCAGTCTTTTGGAGCAGCTCAGGAAGCAGGAATAATGTGGTTTTGGAGCAGCTTCAGAGCAGTTTAAAGGAATTCTGGAGCACCAACAGGTGTGTTCGAAGCAGATTGCTGGCTGGGGTCACACACCACCGTTCAATGAAATTTTTCCTTTCTCGTAAGTACAAAAACTAACGCGATAGCATAGTGGTTAAAGTAGCAGCCTCGTGTGCAAGCGTGTGCAAGAAGACCGTGGATCGAATCTAATGCCGGCAAGTTTCGAACCGGATTTTTAAAAATATATAAGCGTGATGATGGAAGTGCATTAAAAGGCCCAAGGTGTGGCCTCACCAGTGACAACCACCAGTAAGGCACTCTCTCACCAGAGAAGGATTGGTCACTTAGGTGCAGTAACTAGCCACTACCTCCCACATGCCTATGTCAATCAACACACGGCCCTCAGTCCTCAGCGGCTGCGAAGCCGCTGACCACGGCGGCGGTCAAATCTGCAATGCAGCAGAGGGTAGCTAAGAATCTCTGGGTCCGGACAGGCCGCCATTGGAACCTGAACTTGGCAACATTGGACCCTAAAACCTTATCTAGCGAGGCAAGTCTAGCTTTACTATTCGAAGAGCTAGGGGGTGTTAAATGGGATGCAATAAGGCTCAGTGAGGTTAGGAGGACAGATGAGGCCTATAATGTGCTACAGATTTGGCACGTCCTTTGCTATCGTGGGCTGGCTGACAGAGGCGAACTGGGCGTGGGGTTGCTAATCCACAGAACTATAGCTCGTAACATAGAGGAATACTATAGCATTAATGAAATGGCAGGTATCGTAATAAAAGTCAATAAGCGCTACAAAATGAAGGTGGTACTGGCTTACGTGCCTACATCCAGCCATCATGACGCGCTAGTTGAAAGCTTCTATGAGGACGTAGAATCGTCAGGGAGTAAGGTAAAAACACAGTATACTATACTGATGGGAGACTTCAATGCTGAGGTAGGGTAGAAGCAAGATGGAGACCAGGCAGTAGGAGATTATGACATTGGTACTAAAAATGCCATAGGGGAGTTATTAGTGGAACTCGCAGAACGCAATATTTTATGAATTTTGAATACCTTCTATGAATGATAATCTGACCAGTATCATTACGGAGTGTGCAGTGGAAGTTGTAGGTACGGTAGTTAGACAGGACACTGGCAATCTGCACCGTAGATGAAGTATCTCATTAAGACACGTCAAAGCATGAAAGCCTCAAACACAATAGACAAAATAGAACTGGCAGAGCGTTCGAAGTTGAATAAAAAGCGTAAGGTATCCGATGTAAAAAGGTATAACATGGAGAGAATTTAACTTGTTCTAAAGAACGGATGAAGCGTCAAAGCGGTGAAGAGGAAATTTGAGATAGGCAAAAACCAGATGTATGCAATAAGGGACAAGGAAGGTGAAGTGACAACCAATAAGGATAGGATAGCTAACATAGTACAGGAGTTTTACAGAGATCTGCACAGTAGCCGTCACAACCACGACCATATTGTAAGAACTTGCAGTAACCCAGATGACATCACACCAGTAATTATGGAAGAAGTCAGAAAAGTCTTGGAGGGAATGCAGAGAGGCAAAGCTGCTGGTGAGAGTCGAGCAACATCAGATCTGCTGAAAAATGGAAGACAGATTTTGTTAGAAAAACTAGCCACCCTGCTTACGAAGTGTCTCCTGATGGGGAGGGTACCAGAATCTTGGAGGAATACTAACACCACCTGAATTAATAAGAAAAAAGATGACAAGGACTTGAAGAATTGCAGGCCGTTCAGCTTGCTCTCTGTTGTATACAATTGTATAAAAGCTATTTACAAATGTAATTGCTAACAGAATTAAGACGACATTTGAATTCAATCAACCAAAGGAGCAAGCAGGATTTTGAACAGGCTACTCAACAATCGACCACATTCATACTATTATTCAGGCAATAGAGAAATGCTCAAACTACAGCCAACCACTATACATAGCCTTCATAGATTACGAGAAGGCATTTGATTCAGTACAAATATCAGCTGTTATGCAGACACTTCAAAATTGGGGTATCAACAAAGCATATATAAACATCCTGGAAGAAATCTACAAAGGATCAACTGCCACCATAGTGCTCCATAAAGAAAGCGATGGAATACCAATCAAAAAGGGTGTAAGGCAGGGGGACACAGTCTCCCCAATGCTATTTACCGCATGCTTACAGGAGGTTTTCAGAGGCCTAGAATGGGAAGAGCTAGGTATGAAAGTTAATGAAGAGTACCTCAGTAACCTGCACTTCGTCGATGACATTGCATTGCTGAGTAACTCAGGGGAAGAATTGCAACTCATGATTACGGAGTTAGACAAGGAGAGCAGGAAGGTAGGTCTTAAAATTAATCTGCAGATAAAGTAATGCACAACAACCTCAGAAGAGAGCAGCGCTTTGAGATAGTAATAGTCCACTTGAAGTTATGTCTACTTAAAGCAGGTAATAACTGCGGAGCCGAGCCACGAGATTGAAGTAACTAGAAGAATAAGAATAGGGTGAAGCACATTTGGCAAGCGCTCTCAAATTATAACAGGTAGAATGCCACTATCCCTCAAGAGGAAGGTATATAACAGTTGTATCCTGCCAGTATTTAGCTACGGAGCAGAGAAGGTATATAACAGTTGTATCCTGCCAGTACTTAGCTACGGAGCAGAAACATGGATGGAGGATTACAAAGAGGGTTCAGCTTAAAGTAAGGACGAGGCAGCGAGCAATGGAAAGAAAAATGGTAGGTGTAACCTTAAGAGACAAGAAGAGAGCAGAGTGGATTAGGGAACAAACGGGGGTTAAGGATATCATAGCTGAAATCAAGAAGAAGAAATTGACATGGGCTGGGCATGTAGCACAAAGGCAGAATAACCACTGGTCATTAAGGATGACTGACTGGATCTCAGAAAAGGCAAGCAGCTTAGGTGGAGACAGAAGGTTAAGTGGGCAGATGAGATTAGGAAGTTTGCTGGTATAAAGTGGCAGCAGCAATGCACAGGACCGAGTTGACTGGCGGATCATGGGAGAGGCCTTTGTCCTGCAGTGGACGTAGTCAGGCTAATGATGATGATGAAACACAAAAAATTGATGGCGATGGTCGCTTGATGGTGATCAAGCGACCAGACTTACCACTAATCGATATATATATATATATTGTAATGTAACCAGAGAGAACTAAGAGTCAACGCCCTTTTTTAAGCATCAAAGCTGAAAGCACAGCAACTCAAAAAACAACATAAGCGATTCTTGGATAGCTATTAGTGGTCAGACAAATAAAGAATGGTGATGTTAAAATGTTATATTAGCAAAAATATAACTAAAACAGTGCATCCCAGATGAACAGCAACTCAAAAGTAGAGATGAGCTAATCACAGTTAACCTTATTTTAAACCCAATAAGACTAAAAATGAATTTGAAAAGTTTATGTTCGGGTCATTGAAGCAGCAGAGCTGACATGAGAACTGCGAGGAAAGTTAGATGCGCTCGCCGCGCCATTCCTAAGTGATGGCACAGGAAGTATTCTACTTCAATAGAAATTATATGGGCACTTAATGGGTTTTTGCCGTCGCCCCCACGTTCTGCATCAACTTCAAGTTGGTAACATCCCCCGCGCCCCGTATGTTCGACCAGCGAATGAATCGACGAGCGCTGCTGAAGCGGAGATTAAATGAGGCGGCCGACCTCCGACGCTTGGGGGCGCACCCGATAGCATATCGCCACGTGTTATGCATGCTGTCGAATGCTCAGCTGTGAGACTTTTACGTAGTGCGCTCTCAATGTGAACGTATTGCGTGAAATGCATGCTTGTACACTGGAAGCAGAGAACATATAGCGTCGGGCGTCAAAATCTGCCAAGCAGTGAAGCCTGTCGGCATGTGATCAAAGATTCCAGCACTTGCAGCTACGGAACAATTCCAGCTACAGGACAAGCTCTAATGTATGCACTGTGCATGTAATGTCACCAGAAGGTTTTAAGATTATCTAGATGGTTTTCAGTAATTCGGGCGCAGTTTGCACAAGGCAGCATCACACGTACAATGGTGGGGTAATAAAAACAGAAAGAAGCAAGCGTATGCGGCAATATAATACTACAACATTACAATTTCTTACTATTGCATCAACGGTGAAGCTTTTATTTTTATTTAGTTTTTTTGTTTATGTGGCTCGGCGGTCTCCATCGAAGAGTGTGCGCTCTGCTCGGCCATTGTGCGGCAACAGTGCTGCTGGTTTTCTGCCACCACAGCCGCCTTTATAGTTTGACTCTGCTGGTTTTCTGCCACCACTGCCGTCTTTATAGTTTGACATATAGCAGACCTATAGTTCGACATATAGTTTGACATATAGCAGACCTCATTATGCGACATATTTAGCAGCTTCGCTGCTAAATATGTCGCATAATGAGGTCTGCACACAAATGTCACTTTAACAAGATTCATGTTTTGTTCACCTGGCTCAAGATTTATGCATGGTGTTAAGTTATCTAACTAGAGTTGCTTGGTCGCTGATAAGACTCAGCTGAACTTGACGTCACACGCTCAAATTGCCGTTAGGAGCAGCTTGGCGCAGCAAGTTAGATTGACGCAGAATGACGCAATTGGCACATCACTTCCACCCCCGATTATACGACGCTCGGATTATACGACAGTTTTGAGTGGTCTTCTGAAAGTCGTATAAACAAGGTTCCAGGTGTACACTATATTTTAGATTCTCAGGGAACTGAAATTTCCTGGCTAGCCAACCTACGTTTACGTGCACTCGCCAAAGAGTCCAGAGCGTGTCGAAAATTTGCTTACTAGCCTCCAAGAATCATTTGTGCTTCTGATAAAAATAACACCTCATAGCATGCGTTGTAATGACAAAATGCGGATAACACTGCCAACATACCATGAAGTGAAGAGTGTGTTTTTTTTAATAACAGATAAGAGCTACTCTTTCTGAAAACAACTTGAAAAAATTGGCAGATCTAACGTACAGTGGGATTTAAGGATATGTGAAGCATGAACGAGGAATGTCGATATGTCACTTTAAAATCAGCACAACTGTTACCAGGCGGTTGTAAATTATGCTTGTACATGACATCCATGTGATGAATATCATGTTTGGACGTGTCATTTACCTTCGTCGTCCATTCACATCACGTCATACCAAATTCGGTATATGTGAGGCTAGCGAAACGGCCCCAAGCGCGCAATGAGCAAAGCATGCAGTTATGTTTTACAGGCCATGCATATCATAATTATCATGTTCGGACCTGTAATTTACCTTCGTCGTCAACTCACGTCAAGTAATACCAAATTAGATATATGTGAAGCTTGTGAAATGACTGCGAGCACGCTATCACCTTAGCATGTAGTCACGTTTTACATGACACGCGTGTCATGATTATCATGTTTGAACGTGTAATTTACTTTTGTCGTCTATTGACGTTACGTAATACCAAATTTGGATGTGAAGCTAGCGAAATGGCCGCAAGCTAATCAGAGCGTGGCATGAAATGATGTTCTTACATGACACGCATCTCACGATTATCATGTTTGCATCAGTCATGTACCTTCGTTATCCATTCACGTCCCGTAATACCAAATATGGTATATGTGAAAATAGCGAAACGACCACGAGTGCACCTTGACTGTGGCGTGTAGTCCTGACAAGTCATAACATGAGAATCGTGACGTGCATGTCATGTTTTCCACGTTAGGGTCTGTCACTTATGTCCGCTATGCAGTCATGTCATACCATGCCAGTTTTGCAACTTGTCATGTGAACGAAATCATCGCAAGAGCAACTACACCTATGAAATACGAACCATCACATTCATGACATACATGTCATGATTTTCATGTTATGACTAGGCTCCTCATACAGTCGTGTTATGCCATACCAAATATGGCATTGATACCACTATAAAAAAGGCCAGGAGAACTAAAAGTCCTAGGCAGCTTAAAGTCGCCAAAATTCACTAAAACATGCTTTGCATTTAATATGTATTTCCTATTCAATCTGAAGATAGCTGTATGTACACACTTGGTACACAAGAAGTAATTATTGTTATATCACATTATTTCTCATAACAATATAATCCATGGCATTTCACTTTAAACTAATCAGCCAACATGCCATCTGTGCTGCAGAGGTTGTGGAGATGCTCACCCAATGACAAAATGAGCTCCTTGACATCGTCGACTAATCGAGACAAGAGGTAGTCCTCGACATGCTGGGGCCTGCTGGACAGCCCACAGCCTCGCATGTCCACAGCTGCCACCCTGCAATATAGATCGGAAGACAAACACGCTGCATCACTTAACACCACACAATGGACCACAGATACTCAGTACAAGCATTTCTGAATAAGCTAGCAGAGAATAGCAAAAGAACTGTCTGTCCCACTTCTTTTTTATGTACAATCGCTGCATCAGCTGATGAATGCTGAATTTCTTTGTTCCCCAATCAAACATGCGTTCTTTCAAGAAGCTCTTACATAGCTTACGTAGTAATCACGGCTAACGAAATCATGTGTTATCCTTGACACATTAGTCATCCAGCCTTGTCAAGTGCCTCAGTGAAGAGTGTGTAAAGCACTCTCATGAATTTACTAAAGCTTTCAATCAATGATTCACACACCACTTTGAGGATTTAGGTAATTGCTAGCTCAATCATATTTTCTGTTATAAGAGATTATTATCACTGTAAGTCCAACCTCTCTAAAAAAAAAAACAGACGAGCGTGTAAAGTACTCTCATGAATTTACTAAAGTTTTCAATCAATGATTCACACACCACTTTGAAGATATAGGTAATTGCTAGCTCAATCACATTTTCTGTGGTTATCAGAGATTATTATGACTGTAAGTCAACCTCTCTAAACAAAAACAGACAGAAAAAAAAAGAAAACATACAAGTGTGTTTCTATCTGCACAGCCAATATTATGGCGTATTCGGTTGGACATTTTTGAGGGCTCTGGATGTGAAACTCACGTGACACAAGCTGGCAAATCACGTGCCTACCGGCAGGTGAACTGCGCCAACAGCCGAGCATTTCGGAGGAGGACATCGCCGGGTGCGTAATACTTCGTGCACGTGCCTCGATAGTCGTGCTTTGGAGTGTGTGTGGAAAGTTTACATCTATGACGCGATGAATGCACCTAGTCAAAATAGAGGTGGCTGGCGGAAGTGGAGAAAACCTGTAGTTACAGCAGCTCGCACACACCCATGTGACTTGCGTTGGAGATAGCAGCTCAGACTACGATGACTACCATATTCATGTTCTGAGCTCAGAAGGCTGTCCCTTTGTCCAGGCATGTCTGAGCACAGGAGTGTTTACATGGCAGCTTCCTGCGCTGGCTGCATGGTGCGCTATTGGCCCGCTGCTCTGAGATCACCGACGTATTCGGTTGGTACGCTGCCTCTTCGAGCTCTGACAGCGAGCTGCCTTAGCATCTGGAGACTCAGAGCCAGTGGACCAGAGCAGCCAACCGAATACATCCTTAATGGAAATTTAGAAACAACAGGTCAGTCATCTACATATGTTTCCTCATTTTGACTTCCATGGTTTTTTTCCGGATGCGAAGCACATAAAATCAGATCGCGATGTCCAGAAATAGACGTGACAGACATTCTGGCGGCACGCGTGCAGCTATTGCTTTATTAAATGCCGCAGAACTCTTGAAACAAGCTATCAGCAGTCTTCCTGAAACGAACAACGTCCACCTATCAATCACCATCACAGTTTCATGCTACCGATTGTACTAGACGTCATGGTCCCCTGTAAAAAGCGCGTCTCACTGTTAAGCAGACTTGCACAACACAGTTGCGTCGCCACCAAACACAGCATCGTGAATTATAGGACGCACGCACGATAGACCGTTTTCGTAAGTACGCCACCTGACAGTAAGCTTTTCGTAAGTTTAGATTTTGCAAAGGGTTCTGGGATAGAAGCCACCATGTATAAGGCAGGTGGTGTGTGCGCGCATTTCGTACGTGCATCCTACTGCTAGTGAAAGTAGTTTCACAATAGCGCCCGTATTTTCAACGTAAAATACAAAAATTCCTCCGTTATTTTTTTGTGAAGCTATTTGAGACAGAACGCAGCTCACACCAGTGAGATATTTGTATTTCTTTTAATTTACTCGATGTGACTTTACGTTTCTGAGCGCGGAAAACGTCCCACCTTCATCGTGTACCTCAAACGCTGAGTGGCATCTGCATCCACATGAAACGCTGTTGGTGTCATCTGCTCCGTCGCCCTATACATAACGGCAAGGAGCAGTTCGCGTAATGGGCACTTAGGGCGTCTTTTTATGAAAAGGGCCTATTGCTGTTTATTCAGCGTAATAAAATAGGTACGTGATTGAGACTTCGGTGGCCCTGAGAACAGGGTGCACATGTATTGACTTGCCGGCATGGCTATTACCGGTGATAGAAGCTCCCAAATTCCAACTTTGGTGCAGTTTCGCACAATTTCCGTCGATATTATGAGGATGGCGCAGTAAATCTAATTTGGTGCATTTTGGCACAGATGGCACAGGAGTGAGATCACTGTACCCCCCCACCCATTTACACATTTCTATTTTTGTCAAGCAGGAAAGGGTTAACCCTATCCACCAGCACCTTTTTATTTCCACCATATTTTCCACCACATATATCCACCAGCACATATTTTATTTGTGTCTATTTAGCTTGCCATATTCCCGGAAAAAAATCACTGATTCGGCAACTTTATTCAATATTACTCGTGAGAAAAGCGCTCGAAGAATTTTATACGAGTCATTACATTTACTGTTAAGTCACTTCATTAAAGGAGCACTGACATCGAATTTGCTCATGTCAAGATTTTCGTGTCGGCGAGCAGCAATTGACCCCCTGGTAGCGATTCACGAACTATAACGCAACTAAGGAACGAATAATTATGAATTTTTTTTATTTATACGGCACGTCTCTAAACAATTCAAAACCGCCGGCAATCTCGCCATTTTAAACACTGGGAGCTCTCTAAGTGGCACTACCATGTGGTCACCTCCAAACTGCGCCACACTGCTTGGCAAACATTTCGTCTTCTATAGGCGCACACATTCAGTCATGCCTTCTCACCTGCATTGCCGTAGTCGTCGTACAAAGTGTCGACTAGGGTCGATTACGAGAGCCTGGAGCTTCGAATCCCCACCATTGGCGTCCTCGCAAATCATTTTTGCTTCGATCGGCTTTTTTCAGAACAGGGGATTCTAAAATGAACTGCGGTTCTAACCAGCAATGAGGGGGTGCCTGAGGATACATGGTTCGGCAACGCTCGCTCACGTATCTCAATTAGCTTGCCATATTCCATGTGTGTGGCGTGCACAGCATTCAGGTATACACAAAGGGGTCAATGAAATAACGGTTTAGGCGAAGCGCACCAGCGGCGAAATTGAATACATTTCCTGCTGCCCAAATTCTTCTTTGCGCCTTCAGATGGCCCCCCCTATCCGGCCTCTCACGGGGGCGGCGGCAGTAACCTGGCATTACGTGGACGCAAAGAAGTCTACAGATGAACTAAAATTTACTACTAACAAAACCTGCATGTCACTTGTTAGTGATAATATCTGCCTCCACCCTACTCCACTTTGATAGCTTGTGGTCGTGTTGGCGTGTAACATATGCATAATGAAAAGACCTACTGATTGCGCTTTTCCCGCTCTTCAAACAAGACGACTGCAATCGCGACGGTTCCCCAACCCCTGACCGAGCACACATTGAATTACGCTTTCTTTTATCGTTATTTTATGGGCGCTTTAAATCTTGGTGATTTCACGAAGAGTCAAAGCGGTGCGACAAAGGTGAGACATGACGAGTGAATGCATTTCCAGGCTTCAGAGCCAGTTGGCGCCAGGATAAAAACACTCGAATCGTAGACGTGACCACTACTAGCGCATCGTCACTCAGGATGGTATGTGTGGAATGTATCACACTGAACATGTAGCACTAGTGTCGATATTGCAGGGGCCCTAAATTTTTAATTAAGCTCTTGTTAGTATGAAGTAATCAATTAGGGCAGACGCCTGAGGCTGCAATAAAGTGTCTCTTTAGCGGACTACAGCTCTTCCTTCGCGCTGCCACCGTGCACTCGAGCCATCGAGGAGACCCATTCCGAACCTCAAACATCTTCCCTCCTTAGCTAGTGTAGAAGCTAGTCGAGGAGGAGGAAATTAACTGCTCTGTACGTTGTTTGCCGTCGAAATTAAATAACTTCGACGCAATGAATGCGATTAAAATTTGGTCAAGCAATCGCACACTGAGCAATCGAATGAAGGGCATATCTCGATTTTTGAAATTTGATGTGAGTGCCCCTTTAACTTGCCGCAAATACTATTTTATAGAGTGCATTAAAAACTTCTTTTGAAAAAAAAAAATTGTTATTTAACTGCCCTCCAGCTCAGTCGGCGCAAAACTACAGACTCACATAAGTAGGCAGGAAAATTTTTGGAAATGGAAATAAATTAGCAGGGCGAGTTTCGAACTTCGAGAAACGTGAAAATTTTTTCAGTCATATTCGCGATGGTCGAAAATGCTGGATAATTTAGCATGAAATGACGCAGTTGCAACTCACAAAATGAGCTGCCGTGGTTCTGTACGATCTCGAGCATATTTGACAAAGTTTTCGTTTGTGGGTCCCAGCCACACAGGCATAGTCTAAGATAAGTCGGACATTCGAAAAGTAGAGTTTTGTAAGCACAGTGGCTAACCTCAGCTGCGGCCATGACTGCTTCGCTGGCCCAATGTGTCGGCTGGGGCAACTGGTTGGGAGAAGGCCAGTTACATTTACGCAGTCAAACATGGCAGCACCCATGTGCCGCAGCGAAAAATCAATATATTCTTCAGAAATCTTCCTGCTCTCATTCGTGGCATAGTGAATTACGATTCCAGAAAATAAGAAAACTAATGACAACTTGATTAGACCACGGTAATCTTGGAATTAACGAACTCGTGACGATAATCGAATGCAGCATCTCTCAGCAAAAGTCACACATCTCGAAAGCCTTACCCTAGCTGACTATGTTGTCATAGGTTCCACCTTTGAAGACAAATCTTTGAATACAATCTTTGAACAATATCTTTAAAGACAGATAGAAAATTCCTCATGTGTTATCCCCAGTCTGTGTGTGCGAATTACAAGTGTTTTTTTTCCTCGTACCATGTGTGAAGCACGTTCAGTGTGCAGACATGAAAATAAAATTTTGACAAGTCGTTTCAGGTGCCAGCACTTTAAGATAGGGCTGCTAAGCAGGATTGGGTGGATTTCAAGCAGGGGCCAGTGTTTCATGGATGCAGTGCACGAACAGTGGGTGGGGAGACGGGCCACATTCACACATCAGCATCGATATTTGAAATTAGCCATGAAATCGATGAAGACGCTTGCTCCCAATTTCAAAGATATTCTCTTCCACCACAGAGTGTAGGCATGAGGCTGAAACATGCGAAATTAACTGTTCAACAGCTTTTATTCACTCCAGGGCTCCATCTTTCCCAGAACAGTTTGACCCTAAGGACCTTTCTACTGAGGAAGCAGAAAGGTCGGAAGTAGCTAGCTTGGTGGCACTAGCTCTCACCTCACTTCAAATGAATGAGACAACGAAACCACTAGCTTTTCATGGCCTGCCTTTATTTACTTATTTTTCCACCAATCTGCAAGCATCTTGTCTTTGTGTGCAAAGTACCACGGCACAGAATTCCAGCATTTCTAACTAATACAATAACAGGCTTGCTGCGGCTAAGACCAGAATCTCATTGCAAAGGGGGCAGTTGTAAACCTTTAGCACTTTTCTCTTCTTCGATGTCTCAGTGACATGACTGTCTGACACCCACACCATTCACGGACTCACTTTCATTCTTGCAATCACAATAAGCCACCAATATATTCTGAGTGGTAGAATCGACAGTCATATTCATTTAGTCTATTTTGGCAAGATCATCTTTAGCTTAGCTGTCACTCTCTTCGACACCTTAAAAAAGTGTTCACCAGGCATACTGGTCTGAAGAGCATAAAATCATCTGCAGAATAAAATGTCACTTTAATGCATAGATTGCCAAACTCACTTATGAGTCAAAGCACTCTCTCGGACTCAGATAGGGCCGGTTGTCTGAATCTAAGTGAGTCTGGTTGAGGTAACTATTGGCGAGCTTGAGCTTCGAGTGGGCCCAAGTGCAAAATATATTTCGCGAGTGAGTTCGAGGGAGCTTCACTATTAATTACCGACCTGTGGCCCTCTACTCGTATTTAAAATAACTATCAGTGTTACATCGGCTTAGTTTATCTCAACAATGCACTACCTCATATTTTTTATTCGAGGCACGAGCTTGAGAGGAGGGGTGGCACCATGACCTTGCTTATTTAGAAACGAGAGCGCACTACTAAAACGCGGACAGAAAGACAGGACAAGCGCTTGTACCTGTTTATCTGTACGCGTCTAAGTAGTGCGCTCTCATTTTAAAACAATCATGTATCACCAATTCGCCTAATCAACCATAATGACCTTGCACTGCAAACTCTTTCAGGTGAATTTCTTGATAAAGGTATCTTGGGCGAGTAGCTTGCTACAGAAAATGTCGTCACTAAATTTAAACTACTTATATACTCATGTCTGAAGGTACAAGATATAAAGGTGATTATGTGAGACATTGACACAAATGAAAAAGCTATTTTTACGTTAACAGACTCATGAGTTGATTCATTCAGGCTTAGTCATACTCAGGTGAGGCTGCGAATCTGACTCTGAGTGAGTCAAGCTGAGTAATATGTTGGCGATTTTGAGTCCGAGTGAATCCGGCCAAGAAAATGTATTGTGAGAGAGTCTGAGTAACTCCTCAAAGCAAAGTATACTCCTTGAGTTGGTCTGAGTGAGCTCCAATTTTTTCGCCGATCAATGTTTTACTGCACCTCTCAGTTGAATAGCATTCATGGGAACCAGTGTGTTGCATGGTCACTGGCGCTTGATTAGGTGCGAAATTCGAAAATGGGGGGTGGGGGAGAGGAGGACTTTCTAAGGACAGTGGAAAAATTTAAGATTAGCTGTGAGGCTGTGAAATCGAGAGACAGAAGACAGAGTTAATACAGAGTGTCATTAAATGGAATGCTCAATTACTCTCTGTAGCTTATAAAAAGACCAACTTAATCTTTATGTAGTATCCGCTGCATGCGCTGCCTTCTGTAGGCCCCCAGGTCCCGTCAAGCTGTTTGCACAGCTATTTGCCTGGGGGACTCCCAACTAATCTGTTGGAAATAAGGTGGATTCTGATTATGTGAGACCGAACGGACACAGGCGTTGCTATTCCATCTACCATGCTCGAGAGTTGTTAGCACAAAAGACACTGCTCCTCACCAGTAATCCTTCTGGAAGTGCCGTATCTGCTTCTCCCAGGTGTACCACGTGTCTGGAAAGCCATGCAGGAACACCATTAGCGGGCTGTCACGGCTGCCAGCTGACACATAGTGCAATGTCACATCCTGCACCGCAAAGGAGGTGTACACTTTTTAAGGAGCTGTTGCACACTGAATAGGAGGCTTTCTGCAGTTGAACATTCCAAAACAATGTTCCAACTATGAGGCATGCTGATAAAAAAGATTGAGGTTGAGCAACTGGCTTTGATTTTACATGCAAAAGTGTCTTGCCCCCATCGAAATGCAGCCGCAGTGGCTTGGAAATGATCCTTTAACTTAGTGCAGCGATATCATGGCAGTTCTCACATTTTACAAAGCACATTTTCATTCCTTTATAGAGTGTCAATATCGAGCAGCATGATGAGGTGATAGAAACCACAATCGTTTACATCAGTCCCCAGCAACATGAAGGCTTCTTTTAATAATCTATTGTATTTACTCTATCGTAATGCAACAATTTAAACTAATCAAAATGGATGATGATTCAAGTTGGCCATTCATAATTACTCAAAATATGAGAGCATAACATAGACAAGGATCAAGTATGACAAGGACAAGCCCTTACTACAAACTGAAAGTTTAATCGGAAAGCTGTGACATATTATACCCACAGATAAAAGTTTTTTAAGCACATACAATGAAAGCAAACCACAAAAAAACTCCATAAAAACGGTAAGAAAATATAACTGCCCTATTTTACCCAAACCTGCTTTGCCTTGCAGAAGTCCTTGATGCCTACGGCATCTACTACTGCCCAAATCGCAAGCTTCTTATTCAACAGAGCTACGGACAGTGGCAGATACCGTAGATGTTAAGGAATTTTGCAAGCAAAGTGGGTTTGGGCAAGGTGGGGCAGCTACTTATTTTAATTTTTATGTTATGTTTTTTATGGTGTGCTTTTATCACACGTGCTTATGAAACTTTCATCTGTTACTATATATATGTTACAGATTTCCAATTAAACTTTCAGGACTTCGCCAACCTTACGTGCTCTTATTTCAAGTAATCACAATTCTAATGCCAGGAGTTACTTTTCATTGCATCCAGGAACAAGAAAGAAAAGGCACTTCGGTATTCGAGTATAAAGCGAGGGTCAACTTTGAATACAGAAATCTGGGAAAAAAAAATTCCCGTTATATTCCAGTAAGTTGCATTTCAGCCTCCTCTGCTCTCTAGCCAATTACATTTCACACTTTTAAACTTGTTAATTTCATAATCCCCCATCACCATTTGCCACCCACCAATACATTTTTCTGTAGGTGAACCTACATTCTATTGCTCTAAATGTGGAATGGTTAACGAAACTGCCCAGGTCTGTTACTTCCTCTTAATATCAAGTACATTAACAGCTAGAAGATCAATTGGCATACTGGAAGAAATGCACACATCAATCAATGAAAAGACATCCCCAAGCTTTTAGATTTTTTATTACAAGTGCACGACGTAGATATTCAAGTGGACACATGCCTCTGTGTATATCAAGACCACTAAGTATAAAAAAAAAATGAAAAGACACAAAAAGGAGTTTGAGAGCATTTCAATGCTCTCAAACTCAAGCTCAGCATTTGGCAATACAAATAGCTCGAATGCACCGAGATTACAGTGTGTTCCAGTGCAACAATGTGTTCTGGTTAAAAAAAGAATGAAACAAGAGGACCCAGAAAGAAAGACTGTGTCCAAGATGTCACCCCAAACAGACAATGGGAAAAAAAGAAGCAGCACACAATGTGGTCGGCCATGTAAATTGCCTTTCAGTTTTTTTTTTTGCTTTTATACTTCAATGGTTGTATTGTTTCCCACAGCCCAAGGAAAATAGTCCAATGTACCATGAAGACTATTGTTCTGTCGTATGCTTTGTTTCCTTCAAAGAGGCCTCATATGCGTGTCAAGAAAATGTGTACTTTTTTTTAAATTAAGACGAACAGCCAATTTTATAAAGTAAAATTACTTGGCAGGAACTTCTTTATTTATTAGGTTTCCAATTAGGTACTACTGAGACACCTGCCACTAATTATTGCAGCTCTGAAGTCGTATTTAAATTAATTTAAATGCTCTTCTTATTTCTGGGTGTTCCGCATTACTTACTGCAAGACAAGTGTGGAAGTTGTATTCACACTGTATGATTGCTTATTTCTCCTTATTTTATACTACATAAAGCATAGCATGAAGCTAGCTTTTTTTCCGTTAAAGGTCAAGTGCTAAATGCGAAACGAACAAGACAAATCGTGTGCCTGTCCATTCCTCAATCAGAGGAGTTGAACTGCTACAGAGCAATAAATGAATCAAAATAACAATTTTTTTTGCAATGCTTGCTTTTGAATTTAGGGCCCTACACTTGCAGGCCCTGACCAGACCTTTCTTTCTCTTTATTAGCACATCGCTGGCATAGCGCATAAATTAAAGGGGAGTCAGCTTAGGTTATGTAGGCTTAGCAGCACTAAAATCGTTTTGGCTTGTGGAGAAGCACCTGTGCCACTGGTTCCTTCCCCTTTTACGGCAGCCTAGTTGCGAAGACATGTCTGTCCCCTTCAAGAAACAAGTCAATGAAGCCCCTTTCAAAGGGACCGGTCACCGCACGGCTGGCGAATGCTATCCTCCTTTCTCGGCTCAAGAAACGGGTTACCCTCCCTGAGCGGGAGAACCAACCCTCATTGGGGAGAGGAGAACTGGGAGGTTGGCCAAAATGAGGTTGTCGACAGGAACAAACTCTCACTTGCACTTCCCACCAGACTGAGGACCTCGACGACCAAAGGCGTAAGCTTATACTTTTTGTTATCTGCCTAGAGTGGACAGTCTCTCTACGCAACATTTATGTGTTATTGCTAACAAAGCAATAGTGTGTTTTGTTGACCTAGCCTGTTGCCTTATTCCCCCAAACAAGTGTAGCTGTGATGATTCGAGCTACGAAAAGGGAACGTTAATTGTGCACGGTACAACTGTGTGTGGCTGAAACATTAACTAGGCTTTTGCGTCAGCAGTACATAGAGCGGACCCCCTTCAGGTTTAATCAGTACAGCCAAGGCCTTGGGTGGTTGTCTAGATATGGTACAATAATAATGAAGTTTTCTCGAGCATATTTACATTAAAGTGACACACCTATGCTTACAGAATAAGGTCAGATCTGAACAATGGGAACACCTTGTACTATCAGTACAAAACAAATGCAGAACAAAAGCCCCGTTCCATGAAAGACTGGATGTGGTATTTCACAGCGGTGGAATAAAATATCCATCTAGGACGACATGAGTATCAACATGAAAAACTGTATTATCACAATAATAATGGTCTGTCACTCATTATTGAGTGCAATAATTGTTTGTCACTCATTCCGATCAGACAATGCATTCATTATTTTGGATAGGAATTAGTGTGTTGAATTGTTTTTACAGGAGTAATGCTCACTCAATTAAAAGCTTAATTCTTTTAATGACATAATGCTCCCCGCTTTCTCTTCCTCCTTCCTGCAAGGCGTGTCTGTTATGTGCTGGCGGTGATGATGACACTGATGACGATGCAAGAAACCCACTATAGACCATGACGTAGATGTTCACAAAGAATTGGCACATTCCAGACTCCACATTGTCTTCCTGCCATGAATGAAAAGGTGAACGTGAACCAGACAAAAAAAGTGAATCGGTCCAACTGGTCATACCAGTTCCTAGGCATTTTTCCTGAATAGAATGAATCGGAAACCAATTGATGATGACTGATTTGTGGAGTTTAACATTCCAAAGCCACAATATGATTATGAGAGATGCCGTAGTGGAGGCCTCTGAAAATTTTGACCACCAGGAGTTCTTTAACGTGCACCCAAATCTGAGCACACAGGCCTGCAGCATTTTCACCTCCATCAAAGATGCAGCCGCAGCAGCTGGAATGGTGGTGTCTTTACGATGCCGCAAGGATGGTGGTAGGTTTTCGATGAACACGTTTTGCTATCGACCACAAGAACGATAACTGCTGTGACTGCTTATTGCTGTCATGAACCGGTACGATGGCCCTGTATATATATATATATATATATATATTGAATGACTGTACATGTTTAACTGGTTGACCTGATGGAAACCTGTTCATTTTAACTGGCTGACCAATGGGCTTTAATTAGATGACCATATGTCCAAATGGTTAACGATTTGGGAACTTTCCAGCAGCCACGACTGCATTTTCGATGGAAGGAAAGGTACCCGAGGCCCATGTGCCGAGATTTAAGTGCAAGTTAACGAACCCTAGGTGGTCGAAATTTCTAAGCTCTCCACTACGACATCTTTCATAATCATATAGTGGTTTTGAAGCGTTATACCCCAACAATTATTATTATCAACAGCTTGGGAACTCATTAGCTTCAGTTGGATGACCACATCTATTCAAGAGAATAAAAATGAATCTCATTTATCTTCAACTGCTAACGCATATACAATTTGCCAGAGAAAAATAAGACACAACGCCCGTATGGTAGGTCGGCTGTTCTTATTCTGCTTTGTGCCCAAGCCCCAGCAACGCTGTCATCCTTACTTTCGACCATGACTTGGACGTTTGATGACCAGCTGTCGAAACTCTCTCTGGCAAGCAGCACCTGACTGTGCCGCGGTGGTCTATCTTGCGTACTCCACGACTGGACTTGCCGAGCTGCCGAACTTTCTGAGGGACAGCACTGGCTTTGTCGGGGTGGTCCCTGCAGGTTTCCGTTGCGCTGTGACTTTTTTTCCATCAATACCGAACAATCTGGGAGACAACATTGACTGTGTGGCGGCGATCGACCTCGGCCCCGCAAGGACGTCCTGTCAGCTGGCAACCATGGATCTTGCAGCAGGCACTGACTTGGTTTTGGAGAAAATGGGGCTTGTGGCATATCGAAATGAGGATGCCACGACAACACCTGAGAGACTAGCGGCATCGGCGCGTTTCCTCAGTACGTCTTTTATCCATCTGTGAGCCCAGTTCAAGTAGTAGCTTGTGAGGCAGCTCATGCTGTTCCAGCACTGTCTTTATCAGGCTGATGTTCAAGCGGCTGATTCCTATAGCTTCACTTGCAGTACAACCTTTTTTGTCCAATGCCATGTCAA